AACCGATCGTATATGTAGTCAACTAATTAATCAAATTGGGACGTAAGACATTTAGCCTACCATGTGTCCCGCTGTATGTGTGCCTATGCGTGTGTTTAGGAGATTGAGTCGGCTCGGGCCCAGGAATCGGCCGCGGGAGCTGCCACTGGATACTGAAGTCTGAAGTGTGACGTCACACGTAACGTACAAACGGAATAAAAATATTCTCGCTGAGCGCAACTTTTATGGGCTGTAACTTTTTTGTTTTAAGAGATAAATTAATATTTTTTTCACTATCTTGTTTCAGTTTTCCTAAGCTTTCATTTGAGCTATTAACAAAAAATGGTACACTTGTCCGTTTTACATCTAAAAAAAAAGGCTATTGAAATGCCCCTATTAGATATCTCATAGTACCTCTGAAAATGCATAATTGCAGTGACACAGTTATTAGATTTTCTTGTTTCCTTGTTGGCTGCTCTGCAAGTCAGGCATGACAGTTTTGGCGTTGCCAAGTTTCTTTGTTGTAGTGATGTCTCATTATTATCCACTGTCAGTCTGTCGGTATAAGGTATATCTATCTCTGTCTAAATGTCCAGCTAGCCTATCCTTGTTGCAACTGAAAGAAGATCGGCTTGAATCGACTCACTCAACTACAAATAAGCGTACGATAGGATATAACTTTTGACTCAATGTAAGTGACGTAGGTACCCTGAGTGGCAAATGAGGATGGCAACACTGTACAAGTCTACCAAGGAGCATCTGGAATAGGTGTTATCACTGACGTACCCAGTTGTTACTAGCTGTCCAATAGGTGGAACTCATGCTAGTTAAGTGATTTAAGGAGGCAAATTTGAAGTTTCATACTTTCAAAAATATTTATGAAGGTATCTGCATCCCGTTCGGAAATATTCAAATAGCAAATACATTTAATTATGCGTCGGGCCCTGGAACTCATGAAACAACAAAAAGGATTTAGGGAAAATCGGTTACCTTCGTTATCTCCGGAAGTACTCTGTATTATAATACTTTTTAGCTACTTGTAGTTTCATAAATAAGCAGATTTACCCCTATTTAACCGATCTCGTGTGTCTTACTGCTTCTGAGATCCAAAATTGGTGAGGTTCGAATTAAAAACCTGCAACTATTGACAAGTCGTAGGTGATAGACGGTCTCTGAGTGTCGAACGCGGAGGTACCACCCGGCGGGGGCAAGAATGTGAGTATGTTGCATGCACACGAGTTCCCTCGCCAGAGTCTGTGTAGCATCCCCCCTCTTCCCTGTATCCCCTTTTAGCCCCACGGTACCCCATGGGTGTTCAGGCCTTAGGCCTTCGTGGTAGTTGGAGTATAAAAAAAATAAATAGTACAATTTGAAAAAAGATACATTTTGTGTAACATATGTACAACAAATTGTACATAGATGGAAGAGGTCCGCCAAGTAAAAGCAACTACAGTCTACAGAATTTGAGACACCACCAATCTTACCAGTCGCAGTAAGCTAACAGGCTAGAGACCCTGGGCAAGTTATATTCTGCGCCGCGCCCTTACGATAAATACGACGTAGCTCAAATCGCGCGTCTAGATTTAGTTTTTAAGAAATATTTGTGATATAATATTTTATTAAATACTTATTCAATATCTTTTAAATATTTTAAATACAATATATCGTTTATAATATTCATTAAATATTTACTTTTCAATCAATGGAAAATATATAAATCTCCAATATTTAGAAAATATTTATTAAATATTTCGGCTACGGCGCATGTGCGTGTAACCTCGAGCGACCAATAGGATAATACCAAGCCGACCTGAAGCGACCTGTTTGCCGGCATCCATTTTACCTGCGGGACCCCCCGAAATCATGGGATCGGCGGGACCCCCGAAATCGTCGGGCCTGCGGGACCCCGCGAAATCGTGGGATCGACGGGACCCCCCGAAATCGTCGGGCCTGCGGGACCCCCAGAAATCATCGGGCCTGCGGGACCCCCCGAAAACGTCGGGCCTGCGGGACCCCCCGAAATCATCGGGCCTGCGGGACCCCCCGAAAACGTCGGGCCTGCGGGACCCCCGAAATCGTGCTTCCTGCGTACCCCCAAGTGGTTAATTATTTTTTTTTTTTGTGGAAAAGGAACAAGGGTAAGTTTTTCGATAATTACATAGCATAATTTAACTGACTAGTAAACATTATTGTGCCAGCTGAGTATAAAGGTATTCACAAGACCATAAATAACTAGCCTTGAATGTAACAGTTATTTGGTATTGATGGATTTATCTGAGGGTGGATACGAAAATTATGTTCATAACATCCCAATGAAAAGACATATATCGTAACTTGATCGAGATACATCAAAATGCTTTTTTTAAATATCTCAATTATTATTATTTGTCGTAGTACGTTCAAAAATTTTAACAGTCGAAAATACTATAATATGTCCCTTGAATTAAATATAAAATCACAAAATAGTATTTTTAAGTTAGCTCCCTTACAAAAAAAGTCAAATTTCAACAAAACCAATAAGTGTTCTTTTTTCAAAAACCTTTTCTTAAAAGTTAGCCAAAGGATCAAGTTGTGCCCAAGGACGTTTTTCATCAAGATATCTAAATAACATACCAAATTTTTATAAGAATTAATCAAATCTCGAACTATAATAGATTGAAAATGTGGGGTACTTTCAGGTGCATTCTAGAGCTGCTTTTCAGTGATGCAGTTGAACTACTACTCACTCATCTTCTTTTATGGCTAATTTCTTGTCGACTCCAGCTAAATGACCAGGTCGACCTGGCTCTCTCTGCAGCTGCTAGAAGATCCTATCTTTATTTATTTCATCAATTGAAGGTAATCGGTATGCGCAGTACCAAACAGATTGTCCAAGTTCGTAACAATCTCTTGTCAACGTTGTTCAACACTTCTTTGTGTTGCTTGCATTTTTGCAAATCTCTCCAAACTTCCCCATAGCAAACAATATTTAATATTTAATAAATACATATTTGTATTATTATTTCCATTAAATATCTTTTAAATATTTTAAATACAATATTTCTTTTATAATATTCATGAAATATTTACTTTTCAATCAATGAAAAATATTAAATCTCCAATATTAGAAATATTCATTAAATATTTTCGGCTACGGCGCATGTGCGACCAATAGGATAATAGCAAGCTGCCTGAAGCGACCTGTTTGCCGGCATCCATTTTACCTGCGGAACCCCCGAAATCGTGGGATCGGCGGGACCCCCCGAAATCGTCGGGCCTGCGGGACCCCGCGAAATCGTGGGATCGGCGGGACCCCCCGAAATCGTCCGGCCTGCGGGACCCCCCGAAATCGTCGGGTCTGCGGGACCCTCGAAATCGTCGGGCCTGCGGGACCCCCCGAAATCGTCGGGTCGGCGGGACCCCTGAAATCGTCGGGCCTGCGGGACCCCCCCCCGAAAACGTCGAGCCTGCGGGACCCCCCGAAATCGTGCTTCCTGCGTACCCCCAAGTGGTTCATTATTTTAGTGTTTTTTTTTTGTGGAAAAGTAAAAAGGGTAAGTTTTTCGATAATTACATAGCATAATTTAACTGACTAGTAAACATTATTGTGCCAGCAGCTGAGTATAAAGGTTTTCACAAGACCATAAAAACTAGCTTTGAAATGTAACAGTTATTTGGTATTGATGGATTTATCTGCGAGTGGATACGAAAATTATGTTCATAACATCCCAATGGAAAGACATATAATCGTAACTTGATCGACATACATCAAAAATGGTTTTTTAAAATATCTCAATTATTATTATTTTTGTCGTGTACGTTCAAAAATCTTAACAGTCGAAAATACTATACTATTGTCCCTTGAATTATAATATAAAATCACAAAATAGTTATGGTTAATTTAGCTCCCTTACTAAAAAGTCAAATTTCAACAAAATCAATAAGTGTTCTTTTTTCAAAAACCTTTGCTTCAAAAGTTAGCCAAAGGATCAAGTTGTGCCCAAGGACGTTTTTCATCAAGATATCTAAAATAACATACCAAATTTTTATAAGAATTAATCAAATCTCGAACTATAATAGATTGAAAATGCGGGGTCCTTTTAGGTGCATTCTAGAGCTGCTTTTCAGTGATCCACTTGAACTACTCGGAGTAGCTCACCCTGCTCAGCACGAATATTGTTCAACTACAACAATAATACTTCATGATAAGTTTTTTTTCAGAGGAGTGGACTTGCACTTGACACCCTGGCAGATCCAACTTTCCAACAAGATAATGCCCGATCACATGTTGCAAGAGTCACAATAGACTTCTTTCTACATAATGATGTCACATTGTTACCATGGCCACCAAGATCTCCCGACTTATCCCCAATTGAGCACGTGTGGGATGATGGGTAGGAGATTGCTCAATTTGCAACGTCCTCCTCAGACTCTAGAAGCACTTCGAGAGGATTTTTTGGTGGTGCCTGGAATGAGATACCACAGGAGGACATTGACCACCTGATCAGAAGCATGCCTAGGCGCGTTGGAGAATGCGTAGCACATCAGGGTGCATCCACACATTATTAAATGTCAAAGGTCTTTAAAGCAGTGCAATCATTTTGAAATTTTTATCATTTACTTATTATGCTTCATTAAGTACTTATACAAAATTTTATTAAAATAAAACCATTTAAACTGGGTGTTCGGATTTATATGTCACTTAGTATATATACATACTACAAATATCTATAATGAATATTTGATCAATATATAAAAAATATATTAAATATTAAAAAATATGTCGCTACAAATATTTAACAAACATTTTTTTTATAATATTTAATGCTATCGGGGGTAATATAAGGTAACTAGTTTCTTAACACAGTTTAGGCCCATATCGTCAGTCGTCCCTACAATTGTAGGGCGCGTTTATGGCCTCCTTGATTGTCATACTCCTTTCTTCCTTCAAAACGTTTTAGATTACACGTGTCCCGTGTCAGCGTCAGCGCTCTCCTTTGTGAAGATATGTTTTCTTTTTAAATTGTAGGAAATTTCAGGCTGATAAAACATGTATAACTCAAAAGCAAGCACAATTTGATGCAAATAGATGATTGTGACATAACCTCAAAATAGAGTTCTGACACGGAGAAATAGAAAACTATGACAATCAAGGAGGCCATAAAGCCGCCCTACAATTGTAGGGACGACTGACGGTATGGGCCTTAGTCGGTATAAGTGCCTTTTTCCAGTAAATAATGCACTCACGAATAATAAGGCAGGCGGGTCTCAATGACATTTAATTTCACTTCCCGGATATTATAGAACAAAACTGCTAGTACTTGTCCATTAGGGAAGTTTTGAACCGGTTAATCTGATGCGTTACGTCCTCTATTAAAAATATTCCCTTTTTCGGAACTGCGTAATTCCTTCGATATGTTGACTGAACGAAAACAGTGCATAAAAGAACAAAGAGCACTGAAATATGTTAGTTAGCGCGCGCCTAATATGCAACTTTTGACATGTTTTAACGCAACTCGGCACGGGTTTCCCTGGTTGTAATTGCTTTAACATTGTTCAATCAAAATTAGAGGGTTTGCGTTTGAGAAAAAGAACTTTCATTTTTGGGACACCTTAATGGACACGGGCGTGGACTTCTATCCCCCATGCAAGGTGTAAGACAGCTAATAACATAATGAGTGGACAGTAGAGTTGAGCATGTCATGAGTCGGTAGAATAAGGAGGTACTCAAAAGGTTTTTCCCAAAATGGGATTGGCCCCGACAACCCAGTTTTATCGGCAAGGAAGGACAACTCCCCTGTCGTTATGTCACCTAGTAAGTAGTTTTGAAATTATATTAACATTGAAACCGTCGTTGAGTTGTATATGTAATACCTCGTAGTAAAAGAGAAAACCTCAGTACACTTGTGACGTGAGTTGGTGTCCTCTCATGTTCATCATTCTATCATCGTCAACACTAGGTTCACTACTGTTCCATCGATTTACAGCTACTCCACAAAAAGACGGACTTAACTCTATAATACTGATACTGTGGATTTCACCAGGATTGTCAAATCAACAGTCCGTCATTCTCCACATATAGGGCAACAGTCGGTATTAATACAGCGAATGAGCTTCAAGTTCCAAACAACAAATTTTAGCACCAATAGCTATGAAATGTTGGAAACAAAACATTGTCAACGTATGAGATGACAGCTTGTCATTGAAACGTCACCAGCTTATTGAATATTAAGAAATTACTTACAATTCAGTCAAATTTGAACAAAGGGTTAGATTTTGAATAAATTTCATGTTTTTTTTTTAATATTGTAGATTGTTTATTCATGTTTATATTATTTTCTTCAATTGATATGCAATTTTACTGATTTAACATCACCTAGCGTGTGTTTTTTTTTTTCTAAAAACCTCTTGCAAATAGCCATTAAGCACCTAGTTGATGATAGACTCTACCACAAATTTCATAGATATATATCGTTTCCAAACATTCATTCATTTACTTGCCGTTCATCAGTACTATTATGTTTAAAACCGGTCCCACCACGATGTGGCAAATGCCTTACAATGTGGTCACATGGCCATTCACCACTCCGTGTGGGAGAGCGCTGACGGATTGCATGTGTCCAACGTTCGCCACATGGCACGTTCGGGGTCTTGTCGCTAAATCTGACCCGCGTCAAAGGATGTTAAACGTTGGAAGCATGGTTCGTTATGTTCCCACACGAGATGTCATGTGTTTGATGGTTTTAGGTTAGACTCAGTAGCGGCGAAAAAATATTATTTACTTGTTTGCTGTGATTGTGGTGAAGTAGTGGTATGTGGGAAGTATTTTGAATTAAATACCTACATACCTATTCATAATAATGTATGTTCTGTAACTAACTTTTGAGGAGAATGAATATTAAATTAGTATACATACAAAGATGTCAGAACAACACTTTTTTCATATTGCTAATATTTTGTACGTTTCGCAGTTGAGTTATGGCTGGCCTAAGGATTTGTATTTTAGTAAATTATAAATTAACAAATACAGTTGTTTCGTTTATAATGGCCTGTTGCAATGCCAGACTAGTAGAGAAATATATTGACTTGCATTTCATAAGTAACGAAAACTATTAAATAAATGATATCTCTCAAAGTACTATCAGGATTTTGATGAAAATTTGACCCAGCTTACTACTATGAAAATGACGAAAAAGCTCTGCAGTTTTTGAAAATTGGGGCAGTGGCGGCGGAGTTATCGTCGAAAAACAAACAAAAAGGGGTCAAACTTCGTTTTCCGACATTTCTAATGCTTCTGACAGACTTAAGTTTTGGTCGCTGAAGACAGATCTTAAATTATTTTTTCGGCGCTAGAAAAAATTGTTTCATCGTTCATGTGTAATTTTTCCTTCAGTTGTAAAGGTTTAAGCGCGACACTGACACCGATAATAGACGTTGACACCACCTTGCGTCGAACGTCCGAGACTAAAAAGTTCATCCCATCGTCTAGGAGACACACTTGCCAATTGTGGGGTGCCGAACGTTGTAAACAACGTTGTATTCAACGTTGGAAGCATCGTGTGGGACCCGCATTAGATTGATATTCCCACAAAACCATTCAGGATTTTTGATATCCATACATCCATGACGTTGAATATTTTTCGTTGTTCAGGAAGTGAAAAAACATCGACACTATATTTACAGCGATTAAGAAATACCCAAATATATGTCGTAAAGCTACCAGCAAACCTAAACCTGCAAAAAAACTAGAATTTGCAATAACCTTTCTTATTTCACTGAGAACATATTCTAGGTTATATTATATTGACATTATTTGAATAACAGCTGATTATTAGTTGCTTACGAACTGACGATTTTCTGACCTAAGTTAAAGTTAGCTTCTGAGCTAAGTTGTTGATCGTAATCGTAAGCACGATTTCAAGAGGAACGTACCATACCTATCAACTGTCAAAGAGCGAATAATAAGATAATAATCAGTGTATATGTTTTGTGGTGTATTATTAATGATAAACTTCAATTCGTGTCCCCCCATCATTAATCACTAGATAGAGACTATGGAAAATTACAAACTTGAAAGATATCTAACCTCAATTCAAAAACGTCGTGTTTGGCAAAAACTTACACCAGCTAAGATAACTCAGGCAAAAACCCGGGTATCTTAACAGCGGGAAGGTGGGAGGTAAGAGTCTAACTAAGTTGATACGTCAATTCTTGGTCCCAGTGGAGTAAGCTGAAATACACTCTACTGTGCTTTATAAGACTATACGTGGATTTTTTTCCCAAAATCGTTGTACAACACTTGAAAAAATGCAAATGAAAATTTAAAATTATTTCCATGACGCCCACAAATAGCTCCGTCGCCGTCGGTACCTCGGGTTATACATCCTGACAGTAGGGATGTTCGATGCGATCCTATTAGAAGTATCGATACTTTTGCTTCCCATATCCGATATTTTGGATCGACATTTTTATATACGAAAGAGTGACTAACTTCTGATTACTTTTCTTCTTTGTTTCCTTCCACTGGATATTGATAATTTTGTAACAGGAACTTCGTCCGGGAATCTCGTTACATATAAATAGCGCAGTCCGGTTCAGATGAGTAACCGCATAACAAAATGACTACTATCAGTAACTAGTAATCATTAAATTAAAGTAAATACTTAATCAAACAAAAAAAATAATAATAAAGGTTGGCCCATGCGGAGAATCTGACAAATATACAGACGCATTTACTGGCAGCTCAGTTTTTTTTAAAAAACGCTCAGACCCGTCGATTTTGTTTCGAGGGGGACACAAATTTGGCAAAAAATCACGTTAACACGTGCGCCCCCTGGGTGGAGGTGACACCAACCCTAAAATCTTAAATGCAAAGGGGGGTCGAGTGATACCTTATCTTAAAGGTCTTCCAATTCCCTTTATAATAATATAAAATTA